AGACCAAACTAAACATTTTTCATGTTGAAACTTTCTTGATTTAGTGGCTAGTTGAAAAGTTGCAAACCCATGCTTTTTGGTGATGGAGGTTCGGCCTTAGAGAAGTCCTACAAAGAAGAAGAAGTTAAAATGGCTATTCAAGTGGTTTATCACACAAGCTCCTCCTTATTTGACTTCTTGGTTAATTTAGAAAATATCCAATCTAAAAATTACCTAAATATCCTTCTTGAAATTATTAATAATTTCATAACTTAGCTATATTTTCTTAATTCCAAGATTCACAACTATGGTTTAATAATGTTAAACTATATTTTTTCAAGCTTGGGACAATTTTTGCATAATTACGTTTTTGCCCCAAAACTCACGTTAATTGCATTTTTTTTTCCAAAAATGACTTATTTTCACTTAATTAGATTTTCCACCTAATTAGACCATCATAATCATGATTAAATCAATAATCAATTCTCAAATTCGAATTCCAAAGGTTAGGTTATTATATAGCCGAACTTATTAAACCTAGTCCCCTTTCCATTATGGGCCTATGAGTTAGGTCTACATTGTTACTCACACTAATCATTGTTATAGCTATCCAAGTCTAAACAAAAGGATCACTTAATTAAATAGGCTTTATATTGCACCTCTATATAGATCATGACTTAGCCTGTTTTTATAAAAACAAGATAATAAGTATAATTGATTGCAACACGCAATAATTACAAAAAATCTAACATTGTCCCACTTGGGTAAAATCAATTGTATAATTTTAATTTTAAAATGAAAACAAGTTATTTGAAAATGACTCGCGGGCCAATGACTAATTTTATAATGTGGCCACATTTTAAGAAAACACATGATCCAAGGTGCGATATTTGAATATGACTCAATCAAACTAAAGTCAAATAACAATGAATCAAGCGGTGATTATATCAATTACCCATGTGAGACCATCTATGGTCACAAATGTTATTTAACTTTGTTGACTAGTCATTAGTATTAAGTGTAGCAAGAAAATAGTATGCCAGTCTTATCCAACAATAGCCAAACTGCTATTTTCTCTGTCAGTCCTCAAATTTCTCTTAAATGCCTTAAAGCTTGAGATATTACATGGTTCATCAAAAAACCATCAAACAATCAAATATGGTGTCGACCACAGGCCTAGTGATTCTAACAACACCCAAATTCATAGTACTATTATGTCTCGAACTCCCGTATGGTGTCATCCATAGACATTATGGTCCCAACAACACAGAGTTCCCAAAATCATATTATCATGCCTCAAACTCCCACTAATCAAGCACATTAACTCACAATGCCTATGTTCCTACATGCATTTAAATATCATAGGCCTAAGTCATTCGATTAGATGGTCAGTCAATATACTTAATAGTTAAGTCATCAACAAAACAAATAATTAAATAAATTTCATAACCAATAACTTAGAGTTTAACATTGTTTTTTCATCACCAAAAAATAAAAATAAAATCCAAACCGATCTAAAAAGGGTATATAATTCACAATCATTCTTAAAGAGATCTTACAAAAAGTTCATTCCAAAATAAACTTATATCTCCAACTAACTCCACAGTAACTTTAAGATCACACAAAATCAATTATATATCTCCCACCAAAGAAAATGTCAAGTGTACTCTCCACATTAACTATTTGCTAACTTTAACGCAATGCTTATCAAGATCAAAATTTATAAGGAAAAATCTAGATCTCATCTTTATTCATTCCAATCAACAATTATATTATGACATTGTTATCATTTATATCAAAAGTGCATTTATTACGTTCAATATGGTCATATTTTTTATGGGTAATTAAGCAATACCAACAAAATAGTATATTCCTCTTTGGGCAGAATGCATAAACAAGGTTGTAACCAAGGTCAGAACCTAGGATGAGTTAGTCAACGAGCACAATAGGTAGTTATAATAAGTCCAACATAATTGTACATTCCCTTTTGGATAAAATGCATTAACCAAGGTCAAAACCTCATATGAGTTAATCATTGAGCATAACATTGGACTTGAAAATCTATCCCCTTTAGAAAGATAGACTCTTAGACCAATGAACCTTCAATAACTTTATCTACAATCTCAAAGAAAAGTTGCTCAGTGAGGATACACTGGCTTAATATATATGTCCCGTTTGAGCATATAGATCACCTAGCCCAATGTACCCTTAAAAAATTCATCCCAAACAAATTCACAAGTTCACAGTTATAACATACAATTACCTCCTTTGGGCAAGTTGTATGAAATACAAAAATCTTTCCTCAAATTTACAAAGAAATTTTCACAAACCAATATAAGCAATTAGACTTTGGTGTTAATTACCCATAGTAGTTCATTAAAACTCTTGCATAGGGATCAATTTTCTGTTGCCCAAAATCATGAATTCAAAATAATAGCATTCCCAAAAAAGTTTTGCACTCAAACAATTTAAACAGAAGCATGCACCTCAATAAACCAAAATACAAAAAATATATTAGAGCAAGCATGTAAGGTTTATCACTTTCCCAAAAGGATACTTATTGCAATATTTTTTTTAAAAAAAATGTACCATTAAATCACATTTAATTGTAGCACTATACAAGTAAAATTTAGTGAAGATTATGCCAGCTCACAATTGCTACAAGCGTCATAACCTGAGGATGAGCTTTACTCAAAGGATCCAAATAGGTTTTCTTCTCCACACAAATCAATCACCATAGAAATAAGTTGCATCTTTAAGTAACATCTAACTCTAAACGGAATAGTATTTATCAAAGGTATCATGGATTCATGCGTTTTTATTCATGTTGATTGCAATGTAACCCACATGACTATCAAATAACTTTTATTTTAAACTATTCATTCTAAATAGTTTCAAACAGGACACAAAGGCACCGATGATAGTGTATTTACTTTTATCAAATATTTACATTGACCTATAATCACAAACATAACAATATAAGCTTTCAACAAATCCAACAAGGGTCTCTCTCTTTTTTTTTGGTGAGGAACAAGGGTCTCTTAATTCTAGCATAAAAAATACAATCTATTATGAATTTAAATTCCAGAACAAAAGAAGCTTCTTCTAAATTAATCATGTCACCAAATGGTGATAGCTCAGTGGGCGCATGTGAGCTAAGCAGGTGGGGGTGAGAGCATGAGTTCGAATCTCCCCAGTACCACCTCTGGGAGGAGTTTAAAGCCTTAATTCTGGACTCGCCCCGAATCGGATTAGTTGCGAAGCAATGAACCGATTGGAATATTTCAAAAAAAAAATTATTCATGTCAAAAATATGGATAATATTTGTTTAGTCTCAAAAGCATACCATGATAATTACAAACAAGATATGAAACATATATAAAACAACAATGACAAACTTACTCCCACTAAAAAAATAAAAATAAAGAACTCCCACTATCTTCAAGGAGCATATATATGTCGTCTAGCTTTACTATTGAATCACTAAATATAATGTATAATACCTTATTAATCTATACTAACTTAACAATTCAGCCTGTTAAGCTAAATCGAAAAACTTCATATTATTAACATTATATATAAAAAAAAAAACTTTAATAACGAATGGAATATGAGCCATCTGTTTCGAGAAAAAAATATCCAAATGCGAACTCAAGATGCGATTGTAACTTTGCCATCGTCCAATGTGCAGGTATTTTCAAAACCGAGACATGCGATGACGATAAACATATTTTCTTCATGCAAATAATAAATATCTTAAAAGTCATATTTTTGAAATTCTCAACTTATTGTGATTAAGAATCAAATTTAAATTTTAATCAAAAGTTTATTATTTGTTCTACAAAAGCCACAAGGTAATTGGGTATAATCTCTTAAAAAAGGTGTTAAATTAAAAAAAATACATATTCAAGAATAAAAGAGGGCAAGAATTTTCAATCCCAAAATATGCAATCATGTCAAATGATGACTCTGGTTCCAAATGTAAGAAATTGCATAATAGGATTATATAAAATTTGAATACTTAAAGATTTAAGCTTACCTATTAACGAAGACATGATTTTTGATTTCTACCTTGCTTCTTTTTGTTTGCTCTGGTATTCCTGCAAAGTTTGAAAGATCAGGATCTTTCTTTATAGCTCACACACTCCCTGATCACAACTGTCAATGGAATAAGTTGTGGAGCGACTATTTTTCAACGTATTGTGAATGCAGAAAGATCTAGCCAAACTTATTAACCCTAATGATTACATATATTCAAGCCCAAACCAAATGATCACTTATTTAAATTAGCTTTGTAATGTATTCTTGTATGAATTATGACTTAGCCCGTTTTTATTAAAGCAAGAAAATAAATATAATTGATTGCAACCCATAATAATTATAAAACATCTAACATTGCGATCAATTCAATCCATTATAAATTGTAGCCAACTTTTTAGAACAATTCCATCAATTCAATCCATTACAAATTGTAGCCAAAATTTTTAGAACGTCAGACTCTCGAATATTACGGATTCAACGAAATTTGAAAAATAGTGGCTACTGTAGCCTGATATACGCATTCTTTCATTTTCTTTGTTATTTCCACTCCAACCAAGCAGAAAAAAATCGATGCCGCATGAAACAAATTTTGGAACTTTCCAAGTAACGCAAAGTTGTTCGTATATTTTCGGTAGAAGTTTTTTTATGGAAACTTTAATAAACATGCGTGACGCTTGCCGTGAGTATTCAAGAACCACGTTGTTCCTATTCTTTCTCTGACATCATCTGTCTTCGACTGATGCATGCCGTGAACATACAAAAATCGTAAATTGACATTATCTGCATGCCGTGAATTCAAAGTATGCACCTTGTTCGTTTCCTCTTATTGGTGGAAAAGGACTACAAGCTTATGAAAAGGTACAACGTAGTCAAGGAGGGTGCCCAAAATGTGTATATAAATAGACAGTGATAGGATATCATATGACGAACAATACTACTCTGTTTCTTTTTAATGGCTCTACTAATCCTTTACATGTCAGCTTTTTTCTCCTTTCTCCTCATAACCCTTGTAATACAAAAAACAGTAAAGAACCCCAAGAAAAGTGACTCAACTTATAACATACCCCCAGGGCCCAGAAAGCTACCTATTATTGGTAATATACACAACTTGGTAGGCTCACATCCCCATCGAAAATTAAGAGACTTGGCCAGAAAATATGGACCCTTGATGCATCTTCAACTTGGTGAGGTTTCTACTTTTGTCATTTCATCCCCCGAGTGTGCTAAGGAGATGATGAAAACCCATGATATTAACTTTGCAACAAGGCCTCAAATGCTAGCTACAGAAATATTGTCTTATAATTCCACAGATATAATTTTTGCTCCTTATGGTAATTATTGGAGACAGCTAAGAAAAATTTGCACATTGGAGCTCTTAAGCCTAAAACGAGTGAACTCATTCCAGCCAATTAGAGAAGAAGAGCTCTCCAATCTTGTCAAAAGGATTGCTTCAGAGAAAGGATCGCCCATCAACCTCACTCAAGCGGTACTTTCTTCGATATATACAATCACTTCAAGGGCTGCCTTTGGCAGGAAATGCAAAGAACAAGAAAAATTCATATCAGTGTCAAAAGATTTAATAAAGGTTGCGGGAGGTTTTAACATTGGAGATTTGTTTCCTTCTATTACATGGCTGCAATTTATCTCTGGTTTGAGGCCTAAGCTTGAGAGGTTGCAAAGACAAAATGAGCAGATAGTGGGAAACATCATCAATGAGCATAAAGAAGCAAAGTCAAAAGCCAAAGGTGACCAAGTTGAAGCAGAGGAAAATCTGGTAGATGTTCTCATGAAATATGAGGAAGGAAGCAACCAGGATTTTTTCTTAACTGAAAACAATATCAAGGCCATTATCCAGGTAAGGATAATAGCCTCTTGCAAATACTTTTATGAAGAGCACATACGAGATCATTGAAGTTGTGGAATATTACCCATATAATTCGTGTAGCACTGGGTGCTGCCTTTAGGTTGTGTTTTAAAACTCTATCGGTTCATTCTTGCATTGACTTAACCTTATTGATAATTACATTTCAGGACATGTTTGGTGCTGGAGGTGAGACATCAGCAACAACTATAGATTGGACAATGGCAGAAATGGTAAGGAATCCAAGAGTAATGAAGAAAGCACAAGCTGAGGTGAGAGAGACATTCAATATAAAAAGAACGGTTGATGAAAATTGCATCAATGAACTCAAATATTTGAAATCAGTTGTCAAAGAGACACTGAGGTTACACCCTCCAGGTGTTTTGCTGCCAAGAGAATGTCGTGAAGCATGTGAGATAAATGGGTATCACATACCAGCCAAAAGTAAAGTCACACTGAATCTTTGGGCAATTGGAAGAGATCCAAAGTACTGGATTGAGCCAGAGAGGTTTTATCCAGAGAGATTCATTGATAGCACTATTGACTACAAAGGGAATAATTTTGAGTACCTTCCCTTTGGTGCTGGAAGAAGAATATGTCCAGGAAGCACGTTTGGTTTGAGAAGTGTTGAGATGGCTCTTGCAATGTTGCTGTACCACTTTGATTGGAAGGTTCCCAATGGAATGAAATGTGAAGAATTGGACATGAGTGAGGACTTTGGAATAACGGTTAGAAGAAAAGATGATCTAATCTTGTTTCCTTTTGTTTATCATCCTTTGTCTGCCACATGAGCTTCACAAGAAGAAACTGAACATTTAGTGCCCACAAGAGACCTACTGTCAATTGAAATATGACTTTGTTAGGCCACGTTTGATGAAAATTGGGTAACTTACCCATCCTTAATAAGTTTTTTATGCTCGATGTCACCTTCGATTTCATGAAATTTTGTCATATGTATTTTCTTAACGGAGTTCAGAAAGACTATAATTGCGGGGAGAAGTAACCTTCAGCAAATAAAAATGATATTATCTTGTTCACTAATTAAAAAATTTAAGTATGGGTAAGTTACCCAATTTTCATTTCTGTTAAAAAATAAAAATGATAATATCTTGTTCACTAATTAAAAATTTTAAGTAGATAAGAGGCACATTGAAACATTATGCAACAAAAAGTCATTTTGATTGCTTCTTGTTAATTTATCATTAAAAATTAAGAATGATTAAGATTTTTTTTTGACATAATCATAATCTATAAGATATTTCAACCAATCACTTATGTGCGGATTTCGATTTTCTCATGTGAAAAACTGGTTATGTGGTCATATTATTTGATCATAATCACTCATTGATGATGACAAAGAGAGAAAAAAATGTATGATTTTTAAATGTGTGGTTGTGATCAAATAACATGATCATATGACCATTTTTTTCACATAAGAAGATCCAAATCTCTCATGTGCCTTCTGAGCAGTGGGAAAATTCTTAAAATGGAAGGCAATTGCTTCAAAAAATGGATTTGCCATATAATTAGATATAGATCTCATAGGTTTGGTACCCCAAATAGGATCAAACTTCTAGCTAGATCACGCTCATGGAAACACAAGACCTATAGTTATCTTAATATCACATGCATAGGGTGATTATAGTTAAAGAGAGACTTGGATGAGAAAAAATATAGGAGATAAATAATAGAAAAAAAAAACATAGGGGAAAGTGATTCAAAGACAAATCATGTGGAGATATTTGAATTTTTTCCTTTAAATAATTAAAGAGGCTTTAGCTAATCTTTAATTAATTAAATTATACGATATAGATCATTAAAAATTCTCTAATTTCTAATCTTGTATTATTGCAATAGACCACATGCAATGATATTAAACAATTAACTATTCATATTAGTTATCTTAATATCATATGCATAGGGTGATATGAATAATACATATAATGATATAATAACATAATAACAATATTGTAATACTGTAATATCATATAATGGAGAAGGTTATATTTATAAATTTTTTATTTACAAATTCTTACAAACTACACTATGTTTTCTCAGTAGAACACTAGATTACACTATATTTTTCTGAGAGTACATAGTATAATTTATAAAAATTTGTAAAAAAGTTTATAAACAGATCTTTTCCCTCACATAATATATATTAAGTATAATCCAAAATATAATATTAAACATTTTAAGAAAAGACAAATAAAATAAAATTATATTTTAAATTATGCAACTACATATTGAAAGTGAAATCAACAAAAGCAACGCACGGTAAGTGTCACTTGTCACGATTAAATGCTACACGAAAATCGAAACTGTCATAACTTGAGCCAGAAAACAAAAGGTTCAATGGTCATACCAAAAAACCAGTGAATAAAAGTTCTTAATCCAGAGGTCAAAAGTCGAACAAAAAGGTTCAAGAGGTTAATCCAGGCTTTTTGACCCTTATAACCCTTTACTAATAATTAATTATCAAATTGACCTTCATTATAAACTATTTCAAAAATTTAACCCCCTCAAAAAACATAACACCAATCTGCCCCTGTTTGACCGTTGACCACGAAGCCTACCCGGGTACATCCCTACCTACCCGGGTATCTTTTGAAATTTTTTGTCTACCCGAGTAGAGAAGTGTACCCGGGTATTGTTCTTGATTGCTTGAATTATTTACCCGGGTACGGATGAGTGTACCCGGGTAAAAAGCACAAACCAAATTAAAGCCTGGATAAATACATAGGGAATACAACAGGTTAAAGTTAATAAGGGAAAAGGAGGACCACTTACCTCAGAATCTTTTGATATAAGAACAAGATTTACCCGGGTACACTCATCCGTACCCGGGTAAATAATTCAAGCAATCAAGAACAATATCCGGGTACACATCTCTCTACTCGGGTAGACAAAAAATTTCAACAGATACCCGGGTAGGTAGGGGTGTACCCGGGTAGGCTTCGTGGTCAACGGTCAAACAGGGGCAGATTGGTGTTATGTTTTTTGAGGGGGTTAAATTTTTGAAATAGTTTATAATGAAGGTCAATTTGGTAATTAATTATTAGTAAAGGGTTATAAGGGTCAAAAAGCCGGTTAATCCACGACTAAATCTTTGGTACTACTGTTGTATCAAAGATTCAGTGCATCCCACCAATGAAAATATTACATGTCAGTTAAAATACTTTTTTTCTATTAAATTTTTTTTCTCTCTTCTGATGTGTAAAGCTCTCGTTTATGGAATGCACTGGATCTAGTTACAGTAGTACCAAAGATTTATTCCAATCCCACAATGAAAACCAATTTCAAAACGTCGATTCACTCACAGTAACTGCTGGGTTGTTCAGGTTTCGACCTGGTACCAAAACCCAACGGTTTTTGCATTATATAACCGAAAATCAAAATAAAAAATGTTAATGTTACATAGCTTAATGATATAATCATCCTCGTACAGTGAAAAAGCAATCAGGTCAAATTCGAAATAATTAAGTCATAAATACCTACTATAATTATTTTCCTTGGTTGTCCTAAAAGAATGTATTGTAGTAGTATATGAGTCTTTCAAACTTTAACTCTTATGAGTATATAGCAATAATTTAAAAGTGAATTCAGATACCCCAAATATCTGAAGGCACACTTATATAAACACTTACAACAAAGGTGTTATTTAATAGTGATGTACATTGAATATGGGTTGTTGAGATTTTTTGAAGATAATGAACAATGACTGTTGTTAAAAAAATGAGAAAGTTGATGGGTTCTGTTGGTGAAAATAAGTGGACCGTATCCTTAACTTATTCCTCTGTTTGTTATCGAGAATAAAGGCCCAAGCATGCTTTACATTTGTCTCTTCGCTGCCACAATCTTATCCTAATTTAAATCATTGATCCATCCCAACTTTTGAGCATCTCTGTATTTGTTTAAAATCTCCTCACTCTGATTTTATCTCACCTTCTTCGATGGTTCTCTCTAGCTTACAGAACATTTTTTTTTAGACAACAAGATGCTGCACGGTCCTATTCATGTATTTGGGAAAGGCGATAGGGTCAGTTTGAAGGGAATCACGACAACCGCATTTGCCAACTTAACTTATTTAAGGAACTTTTATCTTTATTATAATTTGATTTGTTCAATACCAGTAACAATGGTTGATAGGAGCACAGCTCTAGAAATGAAACAATGGAACCAATTTGTTATTCAATGCCTTTTAATTCTGTTACAACAATGTTATATACCCTGTACCCTATAGATAACCTCCAATTACAACACCTCACAGCCCTTAACTACAATATTATGACACCTATGCATACAAACAATTATTATTGACACCTCACAGCCCCTAACCTCTATACATGCTACCTGTGCATACAATCCACATTAATGATACATCATTAATATGTTTGAAAGTCCACAGCCCAACTTGGGCCCCCTAATATCCTCTTGGGCCTAACTTGCTTAACTTCATTTGTATCACTCGTCCCTCCTTCAAAAGGGACCTTGACCACAAGGTCCAATTCTGGATAGAACTGACGAAGGTCCTCCTCATTCTTCCATTATGCATCTTCAAGTAAGGAGTGAGACCACTGTACAAGCCATTGCTTAATCGGTGCACCATGATGGTATGATGGTTTAAAACCCGTGAGTTCAAAACAGTTATTGGTTGCTGTACTGGCTGGTTTTCACGATAAGTGGAAGGTAAATCAAGGACTGGAACATTGGGATTTCCAATAAATGGTTTCAAAATGGAAATGTGGAAGGAAGGATGAATACGAGACTCTGGAGGTAATTCTAGCTGATATGCAACTCTGCTAAGCACCTTCTTGACATGAAATGGTCCATTTTGGCAAGTTTCTGATTACTCCTTCGTGCCAAGGAAACCTGCCTATAAGGTTGGAGTTTTACCAAAACTAAGTCTCCCACAACAAATTCCTTATCTCTTCGATGCTTATCAGCAATGACTTTCATCCTGTTTTAGGCTGCTTGCAGATGATGTTTAAGGCTTGTGAGGAGCTCATTCCTATGAGACAACATATAATCTATAGCAGCAATTCGTACTGAACCTTGATTATAGGATGAGATCAAGGTGGGTTGCTTCCCATATAAGGCTTGGAAGGGTGACATGCCTATGGATGAATGATTTGTTGTGCTATAATGCAACTCAGCCTACCCAAGGTACAAGGACCACTTTCGATTCTGATCATGACAGAAAGCTCGCAAATACTGCTCCAAATACCGATTTGTAACCTCAGTTTGGTCATCGGTTTGTGGATGATAAGCAGAGCTCATCTTCAAGGTTGTCCCACTCAATTTGAATAATGAAGCCCAGAACTGGCTAATGAATATACGATCCCTATCAGACACTAAGGACTTAGGGAAACCATGTAATTTGACCACAATGTCACAAAACAGTTTAGCAACATAAGAAGCAGTGTAAATGGCTAGAAGAGGCCCAAAGTGGGCATACTTGGTCAATCGATTCACAATTACCAATATAGTAGAGAAACTAGCGGACAAAGGCAAACCAGTAATGAAATCAAGGCTGAGATCTTCAAAAATGCCATCTGGAATTGGTAGAGGATGTAAGAGTCCCAAGGGAGGAGTGGTTGGTGTCTTAACATACTGGCATGTCTGACACTCTTTCACAAATGCAGTAACATCCTTGCACATATGGTTCCAGAAGAAAGAAGCTGACAATCTCAGAAATGTACGAGTGATGCCTGCATGACCTCCTACCGGTGAAGAATGTGCCTCCTTTATTAGAATCTGCTTCAAAGTGGATGTAGGACCAATAAGATAC